TGGTTGGTGTCCCCAACCCCTCAGCAGGTGATGTTGTCCTCTGCTGCCTCCTTGCTCCCCAACACAGGTCATCAAAATGCCTCCTGCTTATTATACTTTGTTTCTGGGTCACCCCCCCACACACACACACACAAAAGGCTCTGGGGGGTGTCACACATCCCTTCTAGGCTGAGAGCACTGAGTGCCCCCCATGCTGTGCTGCTGTTTTCTGCCCAGGAAGGGAAGGGAAGGGAGTGTCCTTACTCAGTGGTCTTGATTTTCCTCCTTTTTTTGAGCTGGAGAGTATTTTCTTTCCAGCCCATCCCGGGTCCCTGGCAAAGTGGGGATTTTAATTCTCAGGTGGCCAGCTGCAAACTTGGAGAGGGGGAAAAAACCAAAGAGAAACACTCAAGTCTGGGCCTGAGGAGAGAACGTGACAGTTTAAAATAGAGGTGGGAGGTTCTCCCTGAGGGATTAATGTGAATGTTTTGCTATTGCACAAAGTTTTCAGGTTTTTCCTGAAAGCCTCTGGGTGCTGGGTAGGTGTGGGGAAAGTTCATCTGTGTGCTTCTGCCCTCCTGACCTGCCAGCTCTGCTGCCCTGCCACGGGCTGTGATGCTGGGGACCCACGGGGTGGCCTGGGGAGGGGCAGGGGTGGCTTCCTCCAGAGCCCACACCCCAACCCTGTGTCCAGGATTCCTGGCCGAGCGTTGCCACCCTTGGTCTGGGCACCATCTCCAGGACATTTAATGGTTTGTCCCCAGGTGTCTTCGTCTGGTGCAGGAGAAGGGACCGCCCGTGTCACAACCCCTGCAGGTGAGATGCCTTCAGCCCCCCTCCTGGGGTGGCCCTGCTCCTCCAGCCAGAGCCATGTCCCAAAATCTGGCATTGCCTGGAACAAGCAGGAGGGCTCGGGGTCCTTTGCCAGCCTGTCCTGGCAGATGTCAGGGGCAGCTGGGGGGCTGCTCTCCCTGCCCCAGGGAGCATCTGCTCCCCCCCCGTTTAGTCCCCACTGGGATTTACTCTGGAAATATCCCTGATTCCCCCACCCAGAGCTGGGTATCTCCAGCCAAGCAGGTGCTGGGCACCCCCAGGCAGAACCTCGACGTTCCTCCTGGTCTGTCATCCATGTGCTCCCTCTTTGCCAGCTTTTA